GCAAGAGCAGTCAGTGCTCTTAACCACTGAGTCATCTCTCCAGCCCCAAGAGTATTTCTTTTTCTTAAAAAAAAAATTTATTATTTTTATTTTATGTGTACGAGTGTTATGCCTGCATGTAAGTAAGTGCACCTGTGTTGTACAATGCCTGGGGAGGACAGAAGAGGCTGTTGGATCCCCTGGAACTGGAGTTACAGACAGTTGTTAGCTGCCCATGTGGGTGCTGGGATTTGAACCTGGGTCTTCTGCAAGAATAGTCAGTGTTCTTAACCCCTGAGTCATCTCTCCAGCCCTCAAGAGTATTTCTTAATGACAGGGCCATCCATGTCTTCATTATGTTTGTGGTAAAATACATTTAACACCTTGTTGCCTGCATTATTGCTACTTAATTACTAACCTACATTTTGAATTAAAATTCCTCATCTGGGGACTGGAGAGATGGCTTAGCAGTTAAGAGCACTCACTGCTCTTACAGAGGACCCGGGTTCGATTCCCAGTACCCACATGGTGGCTACGAACCATCCTTAACTCCAGTTCCAGGGGAATCCGAAGCCCTCTTCTGACCTCCGCAGCATTGCACGACACGGGCGCAGTCACATACATGCAGGCAACACACTCATACACAGAAAATAAAAATAATAAAATTCCTCATCTGTATTCAACCAGGACTTACATTATTTAGCTTATGTAATTCATGCTTATTTTGACTAAAAGATGCTTTAAAATATTATTCTAAGTTCTATATAATAGGAAACTTTTAAAGAATAAAGTGGTCCCCTGGCCTGGAACCATGGTCCCCAACTGTGAGTCACAGTTCCACATTCCTCTGGTGGTGGAGCAGATTGGAGGATGGAGGGCTTCCTGATGTTGAGCAGCAGTTTGGCCTCCTCTGAGTGGCTATATTCCACACAACCCCCTCTTCTGAGGTCCCAAGTTTTACATGGCATTGACTTTGCCTCTGTGTTGGTCTTACTCTGGGGACAGGGAAGATTTGTCATTTGCAGATTCTAGTTTTTGGAGGATTGATTCTCAGGAATGTACTTCCTACCTCCCCTGATGGCCAGCTGTGGTCCTGGCTCCACACATGGTCCTAGGCATCCAAGCCTTGATGTTGGATCTTTCCCATTCCCAGGCACCGAGAGGTTTTCCATCACTTTCCTTTCACTCTCTGCAGCTCTGGTGCACCTTCAACTGTGCCCTACAGAAAATGTAAATTACCTCATTGAACTTCTAGAGTAAAAATTACAGGCAGAGAAGTTAAAAATAATTATAAAAAATAGTATTTTAAGATGTAGAAATTTAATATATTGGTTTGTAACTGATGATGACAGTATTATTTCCTCGTGTTCTGTCAACAGATATAGCAACCGAACTGATTTTCCTTTTGAAGGAGAATTTAATATTTTAGATTCTAAGCCATGCCTCTGTTAAGTAATGTACCAGTGCTTTAAAAAAAAAATTGCTGTGTGTGCTTGCACTGCAACATAGGTAGAAGTCAGAAGACAACCCTTGGGTGCCAGTTCCTCCTTCTACCTTCTTGAGGCAGTGTCTCTTGTTTTTGCCACTTTGTATGCTTCAGGCTAGCTGACCTGAAAGCTTCTGGGTCATTCTCCTGTCTCTGCCTCTCATCTTGAGGAAAAAATGTTTGGATTATAGATGAGTGCCACTGCATGAATCCAACATTTTTTATGTGGATTACAGGGCTCAAACTAAGTTCGTCAGGCTTGTATGGCAAGAGCTTTTACCTGCTGAGCCATCTCCCCAGCTCCTTCCAAAAGTTTTAAAGTACATTTATTATTTTAATTTTATGTGTATTGAGTGTATTGCCGGCATGTAGGTAGGTGCAACCTTGTTGTGCAGTACTCAAGGAGAGGGTGTCAGATCCCCTGGAACTGGAGTTACAGACAGTTGTCAGCCACCACATGGGTGGTGAGAAATCGAACCCAGGTCTTTTCTTTTGCAAGACCAGACAGTGGTCTTAACCACTGAGCCAACCCTAGGAATGGCTATTATGGATATGATTCATAGGCAAATATGTAACATTTTTTGCTCCTCTTGCTTACTAGTGCTTTAAATGGAATTGGATAGAAACTATTAACTCATTTTCACATCTGAAAAAGTAAACTTTAGGTAAAGAAATAAGGGTATTTTAAATGTTATATAAACTGCATGTGAGCTTCTTAGTTAGCAAATGGAAAAAGAGCATTAAGAATGCAAAGCGGCTTAGCTTGCCTTTGCTGTTTTTTCTCTGCTTTTCACCCCATTATTTTACAATATTTGCAATTTTCCTTATGGACATTATAGAGAGAAGGCCAAGTGGAAGCTGGGATCATGACAGCTACAACATGGTTGAAAGAACATCCAGCACAGGAACCAGAGCCAGTAAGTAACCAGGACACATAGACTCTGAAAATTGTAAGTTTCTTTTTCTTTGTCTTTCATTTCTCATTGTGTAAAAAAAGAAACTTATCTTAAACTTAAGGACACAAAGACACAGGACTAATGAGTAAAATTAATCATTTAAGGTAATCAGTATTGATAAAAATAAATTCAGGAGCAATCATCTGGAAAGATGGAATTTTAACTGTACCAAATTGCAAACCCCTAGTTAAAATACCCTGAGTATGTGACCATCCCAGCATCCCAGCACTATTTTTTACTAAATAACAAATTAAATAGAAAAATGACTACCAATGTGTGTTGGGGGGGGGTCTTTTTGAGAAAGGTCTCCCTGTAGCTCCAGCTGGCCTGGAACTTGCTGTGTAGACCAGGCTGACCTTGAACTCACAGAGATCCACCTAGTATATTTAAGATTAAATCCAAATACTAAAATCATTCTGTAAATCAAGACAAATAGAGTCCTTGATCTTACGAGTTCTTTAATAGTTTCTCATCACACATCCATAAAACCTGTATTGTTACCTGAGGCCTCTTAAGATGTTAGAGAGAAGAAATGTATGTGAAGATTTGTACTATCTTCTTGCTAGTCTTATGTTTGTTTGTTTTTTACTCACCCACCTCTTGGGCACCAATTTGCTTAAGAATGTCTATAGCTGTTGTGGTGGCACAGCCTTTAATCCCAGCACTAGGGAGGCAGAGGCAGGCAGATCATTGTGAGTTCAAAGCCAGCCTGATCTACATCATGAGTTCAGGACCCTGTCTCAAAAAGACAAAAAAAAATAAAAAAGAATGTCTACAGTGACGATATTGGCCACACGCTTAGGGACTCAGCCATCTTACCTTGGTTTCCACTTTTTTTCTTTTTTTGTAACAGGGTCTCACTATGTAATTCTTCCTGGCCTCACTGTGTAGGCCAGGCTAGCTTTGATCTCACAGAGATCCACCTGCCTCTGCCTCCTAAGTGCTGGGATTAAAGGCGTGCCCCATTATGCCTGGCTTTCTTGTTTTGTTCTTGTTGTTTTGGATCTAACTATAGTATGTGAACTTAGTGATCTTGAATTGGGGGGGCTCCTTTTTTTTTTTTTTTTTTTTTTTTTGCTTACTTTGTGTGCATGCACACATGTGGGCCTCAGAGGATCCTTGAGAGAGTCAGTTCTCTACTTTCACTATGTGGGTCCTGAGGAACAAACTCAGGTTGTCAGGCTCTAGGGGATGAGAGGTGCCTTCTCTCTGAGCCATCTCAACAGCCAGAGTGAGCATTAAGATTTCGGTAAACATGTGAATATCAGACATTGGCAGAGATATCATATTATTTTCCTTAAATCTTACAAATAAAGCCTTAATTTAAGGAAGTGGGTTAATGTGAAGAAAAGAATTGGATTTAAATTTTAGCAAATTTTACTTCAACTTTTCTTAATTTCCAATGATCAAGATCCTACACAACTACAAGTTATTTTTGCAGTTGTGAATTCTTTGTTTTAACACTTATAAATCTGTGTTGTTCCTGAAGCATGATTGGAAGTTTGTGCACCTCAGTAAACCAGTAAATTGTGTGCTTTTTCACCTTTAGGGGCCAGAATTGTGGGCTTTGGCATCTTCAACACTTACCACCCTACTCTGTTTTCCTGAGAAATGATTTTATCACATCGTACTCCAGTTTAAACTTTATTTTGTAGAGTTGAATACTTTAAAAGAGAACATATTGTGCTAGGCATTATGTTTGTTCAATCCCTTACATTTGTGTATTAAATATTAAACCTTTAAAAAACAGCAAGTGGGAGCTGGAAAGATGGCATAGTGGTTTAGAGAACTGGCTGTCTTACAGAGGACCTGGATTGGGGTACCAACACCCAGATGTCCATAACTCTAGTTCCAAGGGGATCTAATGCCCTCTTCTGGCCTGTGTGGGCATAGCACACATGGTACACTTACATACATGCAGGCAAAACACATAATAATCAGTAGCTATTTGGATTGAGAACTCATTGCCATGTTAGACATTGGCTCTGTCCCCACATTAATATTTACTAATGTTTCTGCCTTTGCTTCTTACATAGCCTAAAGACTATAACTGTCAAGAACCCACTGGACAAGAACACCCAGCAAGACCACTGGATACAGAAGTTTGTGATCTCTTCAGTGACTTCAGTGATGATGAATCATCAGGACCTTCTCGAAGAAAGACACCTAAAAACAAAGCCTCTGGTCCTAGTCCAGCTCCCAGCTCTTCAGGGCAGCTTACCTTGCTCCAGTGCGGGTTCTCTAAATTGTTGGAAGCAAAATGTAAACCAGTTGATGATGCTACTGATGGAAACATTGCCTCTGGTGATGAAAGTTCTGATGAGCAGCCCACATGCCTGTCAGCAGAAACCAAATATCCTGGCTGTCAGAAAACTCAGGATGGTGTTTGTACTTCAGAACATCAGAAATTAGATAACATCCTAAATCCAAGTGAAAAATGTGTTTTTGATAAAAATGAGAAGATTTTAGAACAGAATGTTACTTCTGATTCTGATGATGAGAGACAGTTTAAAAATACACCTGGGCATGATCGCATGCTGCAGTATGACACAGAATCAGAAGACAGTGATGTCATCTTTCCCACACAGTGCCCAGCTCAGAGAGCCCCTCACAATTGGATAAGGGTTAAGCCGCTTTTAGGTGGACCTGAAAATTCTGAAGCAGAAAAGCCTATGAAAGTAAGAAATTGTGGAGATGATAGACAGCTTGGTGGCAGAGGAAATGGACTAGTTTCAAAACCAGGAAATCCTGAGAACACAACCCTGAAATCTGTTATGAAAAGAAAAGGCACTGATGATATTAGTGATGAATCTGACGACATTGAAATTTTCCCCACATCAAGAATAAGAAAGCAAAGAGTTCCTACTTCCTTGAAGTATAAGAGAAAAAAGGAAAACAAAAAGAAATTTTATAATTGTCCTAAAGCAGTGAAGAAAACAAACCAAGTGCATGTAGCAGATGAGGATTGTAACTCTCAGTTTATTGATGAATTTTCATCCTCAGACGACAATTTATCTATCAGTTTCTTAAAACCAAGTCTTAGAGCAAAAACTGTAAAAGACAAAATCACTTTGTTCTCAAAACTGCCTGGTCATAATAAGAAAAATAGCACTTTTATACCAAGAAAACCAATAAGCTTTTCAAATGGAAGGGTTGTCAGTCAAGAGCTGACGTCTGATTCAGTGGATAAAATTTTAGGTAACTATAGACATTCTGAAAACATTTCTTTAAGTAACTTTTTTACAATTACATAGTTCTATAGAAGATTACTGAGGTAGTTTGTAAAATAGTTATAAAATCAAGATTCTACATTGAGGCAAAAATAATGAAGGAGGCAAATGGGGGGATAAGGAAAAGACCACCTACTTGAAGATGGAGAGCTTTGCTGTCTTCCCTGGAATCCCCTCCATGTGCCCCACTTTAATTATAGCCTTTCTGCCCCATTAGTACCAAAGATTCTGATTTTTGTAGTAATTCCTTGCTTATGTAGTTTTGTTTTTTTCACGTAAATGTATGTTCTACTATAGCCTTTTCCATGTATTTTATTAATTTTATGTAGTCTCTCCTAATCTGTAGGAATCTTTCTCCATCTCTTTCACTGCCGTACCTACAGAGTGTTCCTGGATCTGTATTTTACTGACTATGTTGTCTCAGTGCAGTCAAACATGTTCTCTATCCTCTGTGTTACCTGCAGCTGAGTAGTGTGTTCCCAAGACTGGATCAGACCCAGGCTGATTTTCTGTGACAAGATGAAGTTAGTCTTTGGCAAGACCATGAGAGGCACAAAATGTCGCTCTTCTCATTGTGGTCTGGGATGCTTCGTGTTTTCATTATATATGTGTCCCATTTGTTCACCATATCAAAATTCTGTATCATATTTCTTTTTATTAGTTATAATGCTCTTATTTTATTTTTAGAATGCTTTTATGATGAGATGCTTCCTGTCATCTATTGCTTACACAGTTACAGTTCAGGTAAAAAAGGCAGGAAAAATAAATTTATTTCCAGTTTTCAGTATAATATGTTGGTTCTGTGTCAGTCTTAGAGACAGACTTTTCTTAGTACAATTGTGAATTGAATCAAACATACTTAATGATTCTTAATCTATTGTAATTGATGAGTAATATTATTACTGTTAATTAATAATATTTGGGCTCAGTTATCCCATCTGTGGTCAAAGGAAGTCAGTAGACATAAGCATTTTGACTCTTGAAATTTTGGGACAACAAACCCATCACCTTTGAAAACTTCCTTGTTAGCTTATATTATAAGATGTTCATGATAGTAGCATACATTTCTTTCTTTGTGTGCATGCGCCCATGTAGCACAAGAGTCAGAGAGTCAGAATACAACTTGGGGAAGTCAGTGCAGGAGTCAGTTCTCTCTATCTAGGGATTCATCAGGCTTGGTGGCAAGTGCCTTTACCCACTGGGCCCTTACGGCCCTCATGCCATATATTTTCTGCCCCCGACCTAGCTTCAGTCATTCTCTAAGAGACACTGGTTTCTTTTAGAGGCAAAGCCTGTTTCAGGGCCAGAGCCTAGTGCTGGGAATGAGCTTGCTGCTACTAGTTTAGTCTTCTCCACTTATTTTGTTAGTTCAGTCTAGTGACTTTTAATCTGTAGTAATCTTCCTGTATCCCCTCCATTGCCATTCAGTTTCTCCCCCGCCCCCCAGTTCCTCTCAGTCTGCGTTATATATTCTCAGTGCACTCAGACGTGCCCTCAGTCCTCTGTATTACCTGCAGTGAGTAGCATTTCTGGACTTTTCACTGGCCATATTATTTTTATGTATGCATTTATATGCTTATGTATATACACATTTGTATTTATGTCTTAATGTGTCTTACATGTATACTCATACATGTATGCTTATATGCATATTTATGTATGTATACCTGTATGAAGATACTGCATGAATTAATATTTATACTTCCATATTTATATTGATACTTACTTTGAAAATTATAGAACTTTTGCTTCTCTTTTTCTCTTCTCCATTATATTTACATACTATTACTTTCATCTTGATATTCGGGTTCACAAACACACAGGGAATGATTTACTTATAATGTTCCATAAATGCTTGTTTGCTTGTTTACACAACAGTGAAAGAACAAATTGGCACTACTGTCCCAATAAAGGCTGGAGGCCTAGCTCAGTGATTGCACACTTGCTTAGCAATACTACCACAATAATATTACTAGAAACATTCTTTCGCTTATTTTTTTTAACATACTGTCCCATTTCTTCCCATTTTTACAATGGATACACTACATCTATATTACTAGAGTTACATATGTTTATATATTCTTTGATATCCTTGTGATATACAAAAAAAGTATATATTTAATAGTACCCCTCAACCCTCCTTTCCATGTTTCTTGAGTTCTTTGGATTATCTGAGCCTTGGCTTTTTTAAGACATGTTCCTGAGGATCCCCCCCCCCCCCGCCTAAGATTCTCACGATAACAACTTGTGTCCTATAAATCAGTTTCGCTGGAAATCCTTGGCTTACACTTTGTTTACTTGTTTTAAATACATAGCTTCATTTTCATCTGGTACAAAATGTCAAAACCCCATATCCAAGGGCAGTTTCTTTCTTTCCGTTATTGTCTGGTAGTTTTACTAGATTGTGTCTTGGTGGTATTTCTCTGGGTTGGTATCCATATGTGTACAGTACAGTTTCCACTTAGTCTTTCTTGGAGGAATGCGTTTGTGTGCCGGTGCCAGTTGTTAAGTCTTTCACCTTTTTCAGAAGTTCAATCTTTGTCGTCTTGTTCAGAAGTTGTCACAGTCTCTTACTCTTTCTCTTTTCATTTGTTTTTTTTTCCTTCTATTTTTGAGTCACTGTCATGTTTATTTCCTCTTATTTTTCTTCTAGCTTATGCATCATTTATGAAGAAGATTCTTTTAATATCGAAGTTTCCAAGGGATGTCCTGTCATTCATTTCTGAGTTGCTCTAATTCTGATTGGTGTTACTGACTCCTGTCCTCTGTGCTGTTCTGCAGGCCTCTTGGCTACCTTTGGAATGGTTTTATCTGCTTCTTGAGGACATCATTCTGATCAGGATGTTGTTCTGCTGCTGTTTCTACTTTTTCTCACTTGTTTGGTTTTCTTCCAGATACTTTTTTTCTTGCTCATTTTTTATGGGACATTATTTCCCCTGCTTGCTGTTTACTTCTGCTTTCCTACTCACATGGATTGCTTCCCTGCAATTTTTCCTTTGCTGGGCTCCAGCCTGGGCAGTAGCCCTGGTAGGTCAGTTTGGGGAGTTCATCTAGTTAGCGTGCTGTAGTCCCCTGAGGCCTTCTTCCTGCAAACCCCTGGTCTCCTGAACACTGGTGAGCAGAGCCCCTTTCCTGAAGCTGCTGACCTCTAGGTGGTTTTGTGCCTTCCAGAAAATGCCTGTTGGCTGTCCTGGGGTCTCCTGTTCTTAGGTTGTCATGTCACACCTGTTGTCCTTCTTCCCTGACAGGGGTGCTGATACTATGCAGTTTGTAGCAGTTGGTGGACTGCCCCACTTAAGTGTACCTCAGGGCTCATAGCAGTGGCTTGTCATCTGATTTTGTTGTGATTTGGTCCATAGGCATCTGCTTTTATTGTCTAGTTGCTGTCTGGTTTCACAGGGGATTCAGGGAAACTGAAAACCTCCATCCAGTTGCCTAGTGATCTAAGACTTAGCATTGCTTTACAAGTATCTTGATTATTCTTAAAAATATTATATGAAGAAAGATGATATAAAAGCAGAAATATGTTGCTACGGGCACCTTAATTGTTGAATTTGATTTATTTACACATTAGGTTTTATTGTTAAAAGTCTTATTTAATGGTTATTATGAAATATGTATATTTTGATACTAGTGTTAAGTCAGTGTAGGATTATCAGTTTATATACTAGCTTAATAATAATTTAAGGAATTAATTACATAATTTAAGGAATTTATTACAAACACTTTTTAAAAATAATCATTTTGAGTTTTTAACTAAAAGGTGTCAACAATGTAAAATCAGTGCTATTTTATATAACATAAGATTTACCATCAAAATTAAGAAAAATCTGAGAACATTTTCTACAAGAATACTTTTGAGAGTTCTGAAACTGTACCGTATGTTATACCTGGTATTTTGAAATGCAAGGAAAATGTTTTCCTAGTAATTCTTTTAATCATATAGCAGTGTCTTGTGTTTCATAATTGATCCTTTCTGGTTGAGAGAAGTTCAGGGCTGAAACAGCACAAGTGTTAGAGGTTATAATTGAAGTTCATTGCCAAAGCTGTGTGAGGGAGATTTTACAGGCCTCAGTTCTAACATTCTCTTTTATGACCACAATTTCTAAATAAATTATTGGGGCCTAGAAGCAAAGCAATAAAAAATGGAACCACTTTTAAAACCTCCTTCAGATAAAAGCCATGAGTTAAAATATTTTTTTCCATTTCCTAAAAAGCTCCTACCCTGACAGTCTCTGGACATATGTACAAAAAAGACAAAATACAAACAATAAAATTGAGCAAAGCCAATGGAACGCAATTCCCCAGTCATAAACCCCCATGCTCCTTGTCATCAAGTATAAGTTTAAAGGAATAGATAAGCCTAGTGGGGCTCCTTAAGTGACTAAACAACATTTTGAAACTAACTAGACAAATTTGTAGAGTCCCTTGACCCTGACTTTCATAGACAAAATCTCCAGTTTAAATTTTAATTTAAAGAGTGTTACTTTTGCAAGGTATAGTGGTGCACACCTTTGATCCCACCACTCAGGAGGCAGAGGCAAGCAAGTTTTTGTGAGATTGAGGTCAGCCTGTTCTCCATAGCAAGTTCCAGGCCAGTTGGGGCTTCATATCCTGTTCTTAGTGTTGCTTCATAGAATTATATTGCTTCACAATGATAAATCACATGGTAAACATCATTGCCTCCTAGATGGTGTTCAAGAAGTGGCTTACATCCACTCAAACCAGAATGTGATTGGATCAAGCAAGGCTGAAAACCACATGAGCCGATGGGCAACACGTGATGTGTTTGAACTGAAGCAGTTTTCCCAGCTTCCTGCTAATGTAGCCATTTGTAGTTCTAAGGTAACACAATTAACTTTTTTTAAATTTAATTTTAAAAAAATATTTTATTATTTTTATTTTACATGTATGCGTATATTGCCTGCATATGTGTTAAGTGCATCCGTGTCATGCAGTGTCCACAGAGTTCATAAGAGGGCATCAGATCTTCTGGAACTGGAGTTACTGATGGCTATTAGCTGCCATGTAGGTGCTGGGGACCGAACCCCAGTCCTCTGCAAGAGCAGCCAGTGCTCTTAACCACTGAGCCATCTCTCCAGTTCCACAATTAACTTTTTAATCTCACTTTTCACAGAAGTCCTTTAGTAGGATCGTCTCTACTCCCTCAAAAGTAGCCACTCAGTCTGTTAAGTGACATACAGCCAAGCACTGAAAAGCCCTACTCCATTTGAGGGATTAGAGTCACTGAAGATGTTTGGGATTAAATGACAAATATAATAAAAATTCCTAATAATATTGAGCTGATTAATAAGTTTCCCTTTGAAAAGAATGTGCCTATACCCGCCCCCCAATGCAAAGCAACCTGAGAGAGCTGTACAGGTTAAATCATAACCAAAACGACATCTATTTAGATGGAAAAGAGAAAATGTCTGATTAGGCTGCCTCAGAATTTTTTCATTCAAAACAAAGACACCCCCCCCAAGAAAAAAACTAGCTTGTAATAAACTTTTAAAAGTATTTTCATTATGTTAAAATAATAAATCATTTGGGTTTTTCTTGCCTAAGGTTGCTGCTGGGTTGAAATAAAACTGTGCTTAAATGTGATATTTTTGTTTATATGTAGTCATTTTCACCAAAGGTTTTAAGAAATACTTCCTTTGTTGTATTATTCTGGAAGTTAAATGAGGAATACTTTTGTTACTATTTTATGCATGAGAGTTAAAAATACATGCTGTATCTAACAGCGACACTTGGATGTAGTATTGGTTTTAAGAATGAAGTAAGGGAAAATCACCCTGAGATTTCAAAATGAATTTATTTGTTCAACAAAGGATTTAAATTGTCTTAGCAAACAAATCATAATGTAAAATAAAACTCATCACCAGAGACATGTGAATTAAAAAGTTGAGTTCTAGGAGAAAGGTAGAATGCAGTTAGATTAGGCATAAAATTCTGCTTAGATATTTTGTTAACATGAGTGTTCTGAATATTCCATTGGATAAAACGAAGTAACCAAAATTTCTCAACTAGTGCTTTTGCAAATGTGTTTGGGCAGTTTGGGTGGTGATTGAGTGCCCAAAGAGGCCAGAGACTCTAAATGGCTGTGCTGACCAGGGGTGGGATGGGGAGACTCTCACATGAAAATAATTTTAAGTACTGTAACACCCAGCTGAGAATCACTGAGCCTGGGGCAGAGGGAAGACATGGCAAAGGGAACATACCAGTTCTAGAAGGAATAAACCTTTTCCTAACACATGGTTTGAAGGAACCTTGTCACCTGGGATTTTTTTATTTATTTATTTTTTTTGCAGACATGGGTAGTATGTAGGTCTGTACACATGTGTATGTGGAGGCCAGAGATACATGTCAAGAGTCATCTTCATTCTCTCTCTTAGTTTTTGAGAGAGGGTCTTGTACCTAGTACCTTGCTCTTACATGGGTTCTGGGGATCCAGATGCTGTTCCTCAGACTTTCACAACAGGCACTTTACCCACTGAGTCATCGCCACATCCCCTTGCCTGGGACTTTTAAATGGGAACCACTAAATGAGCTAGTGAAGACTCAGTCATCTTAGGATATCCTTAGAGTAAATGTAATAATGAACTTTAAAAGGATGTGCTTTTTAAGAATATGTCAATGCCTTGCAAAGATCCAGTACCAAAATATAACTCGTGAAAGAATCTTTCGTGGCCCACAGAGGGCATCTGATGTCCAATCTGTCAGCCAACGGCATTTCTAAAGTTTGATGACCTTGTAGCAGCCACCTGTAAAAGGCAGACATATCCTGGTTTTCCAGAAATTTAGAATCTTCTGAACAGCTTGCCCTTATTTGTGTGTGTCGGGGGGAGTGGGTGTGTGTGTGTTTATATGTTGTAACCATGCCTTTTCCCAAATAAATTTTTATATGAATGGTCAAATAATTTGGCAACTCTTGTAGTAGATTTCTTTCTACCATATGATTTTTAAAGCAAATCTACAAAATAATGGGTTTCTCATGCCATTTTCATACATGTGTCTCATTTGTCACCCCATCACCCTCCCCTAACCTTGTTTCTCTTCCCAAATTGTTACTCTTCCGCTTTCATGTCATATGCACAAATCTAGGTTTTGCTTGAGAGAGAGCATGAGTTGCTGCCTTCCTACCCTCCCTTATCTCTGTCTTCTCCTCCTCTCTCCTTTTAGATTCCTTTTTCTACCCACATAGTCCCCTTTCAACTTCCATAGCATTCTTTCATATACTTTGTTATATAGTGTCTGCACATGAGAGAAAACATGCAATATTTGTCTCGGGCAGGCTTATTTTGTTTAACATGATAATCTCTTCCATCCATTTTCTTGTAGGTGGCATAATTTCATTCTTTTTT